CACGTTAACTTTTTACTTTTCCTAACTTTATTTAACTTACTACTACTACGTTAGTTAGTAAGGTTAAGGTTACGTACGTAGTAGGTAGTATATATATATGTGTGTGTGTGTGTATATATATATGTATATATATATATATATATATATATATATATATATATAGGCAACCAAGTTAGTGCAAGTAACTAAAGTTGGAAAAGTTAAGTGAAATAGAGTTATTTAAAGCTTTGGATACAACTGTGATAACCCATGGGGAAACGTAAGTGAATTTATCGCAGATTGTATTGTAATAACAGAGTAGAGAAGAATAACTTGTCTTGTCAATTGGGTTCTAAAGTAACTGAACCAGCCTGTATGGACTTTGACAAAAAGAGACAATTATTTAAAGGTCTAGATACAAATGTGGTGATTAACTGTGTAACAAACTTTTGTATATATATTTCATTTGTTTTGAATATATTATTTTAAAACAAGTGGATTGTGTGCTGTCTGTTTATTGTTGAAATTTATTGCCAACAAGTTACAGACACCTACTGTAAAGAATCGTGGCCCTATTAAACCTGTCAATGTTACATAGGTCCAATTTATATCATGGTATTACCATAATTTTATTATTTCATTTTAACCCACTCACACTTTGCATATTTTTGATATTTGTTCCTTTTTGCTGGTATAACATAGCACACTGTTTGTGGATTATTTAGTTTGTATTGAGAAATTTGTGTAGCTTCAATTTTACTTATGAATTTATTTGTTCGTATACTTTTATTAGTATATGATACTTAGCTTGTATATTATTACAGTAAATACTATGTTTTCATTTCATCAGTAACTGCCACTTGGTTATATCTGCCAGACTGTACACTGTCATAAAATAAAGAAATACGGAAAAATACAGCTGTAATTCTTTAATGTTTAAGTTATTGTGCTGAAATGAGTAGAGATCTACAAAATTAATGGTCTTCAAACTGATGGATAAGAATGTCTTCTGCACATAGATTTTGATAGGAGATGTATTATAGATTGTCTTCCTTTTATGCCATTTTAAGTGTACAATTTGTTATTGTTTACCTTTCTTTGCAGGCAACACATTTTTATACCAGTCTTACCTAATCATCTCCTAGATTATCTGAGGTACGTATAATAAGTACATTGTGGTTTTTGAGATAATACAAAATTAAAAGAGATACATAAAGTTATACACAGAGGTGTAATTTGAAGATTACTAGAGGGCTTACTTGATTTTATGAGATTAAAACTTCAAAAATAAAAATTGACAAGGCATCATTTTGTTTTCACTCTAGTCTATTTCTATTCTTACATATATATATATACACACACACACACACACACACACACACACACACACACACACACACACAACAAATAATAT